TAGTGGCCATAGTCTCCATATTTTCCATAGTTGCCGTAGTCATCATATTTGCTGACTTCAGCCTCGTCTTCACCACGGCGGTAGTGGCCGTAGTCTCCGTACTTTCCGTATTTGCCGTAGTCATCGTATTTACTAACTTCGGCTGCGTCGTCACTACGTCGGTAGTGGCCGTAGTCTCCGTACTTTCCGTAGTTGCCATAATCATCGTACTTGCTCACTTCGGCAGAGTCTTCGTCACGTTTGTACGAACCATACTCGCCATACTGGCCATAGTCACTGTATTCAGTAACCTGGGCGGCGGTGGTGTCCGGGGACGCTTCAGGTTGGGCTTTGGGGTTGGCCACGGGCAGGGCACTGGCCACGGCCAGAACGGCGGCCATGGCACCGGCAGTGATATGCATTATGAGGGTTGGTATTAGTAATATACTTATTTAAAAGTGAAGGATCCGATTGCAGAGCAGGTTTGGAAGCTGTTGTTGATGAGATGATTTGGGAGGAATGTAGACCGGCTTTATACCTCACTCGAAGTATCTTTCTCTCCAGCTTATCAGAACGTACTTACCCACAACAGTCGTACAGACTCGTGTAAATTGTGCCATTTCAAGAATTATTGTCATGACGAATCGGCGAGTCCAGAATATCCTCGCTGAGGTCATCTGGTCACGAATACGAAGGGCATCCATGCATTCGCCTTATACAACTCTGGTTGTATACTCTATTTTCGGAAGATTCTGGACACTCGAGTTGGGTACATCCTTTGATTCGAGTACTCGCATCCGAACATTCTATGTGTTGTGAGACAATGTACCAGTGACCTATGGGCTCAGCCTACAACGCAGTGTCAGCTTACCTGCAGGTGCATGATCGATGCATGATGTCGTTTTCGTGAATGGCTAGAAAGTATAACTAAGACAGCATGCCGCATATTGATACAGTTGTGTTCCCAATTTAGGGACTAGACAACGCAGACCTCGTGTCTGTGCCCATACTCTGGACAAAGGTTACATCAAGACTGTGCCGGCGTTTCCCGACAACCAGGCATTATTACTTTCCCTGGTCTATCCATCTTCCTCCTTCGACAGAACAACTCGTTTTTATCTTTCTATTATTACTCATTACCAAGTCAAGTTTGAACATCATGCAATACTCCAAGGCGAACACAGATGATGATTTTGAATCTCGGGAGAGTCTACTCACGGATGAGGGATCTCCCCTGCATCAACCAGAAAAGAGTGCGAATAAATGCCGTCGCGTACTCTTGATCTCACTTTACCTGCTCGGAACGGCTTTGGCTTGCTTGGCTGCCGGCCTGGCAGGATACTACTGGCATCGCGACTTGAACGGCATTTGCACTAGTCACACCTCCGAATCTTGTAAGTTCCTCTTAACGTTTGCGACAACAGTAACTGACCGGTCTAGCCCCTCTGGTAAATAAAGTTAGCTACCACGAGCAACGCTTTAACGGATCCTTCCTCAAGGAGAACGCTTTCCGACAGGATGCCGGTCCAGAGACCGATGCTGCATGGGCATCCATCGGGGCTGACTGTTAGTCCTTCTTGTGTTTTTCCCATGAATCATGCTGACCTGGCAGTTCGGGCGGTCCGCATCTCTCCTGAGGAGGCTCACGACATAGGTATGCCCAAGGACTTTGTCAAGATCAGCGAAAAGCATGGTGGCGGATATCCTGTCCACGTCGAAGGCTTTCATCACCTTCACTGCTTGGTAAGTCGCCATACCTATACTAGAAGTAATCACATGCTTACCTCTCAGAACCTTCTTCGCCAAACGAACTATTACAACTACGAACATTACAGAGACCTGGGTCAAGGCGCATTCAAGAACGACGAGTTTATCGTCAAGCGCCATGTCAGTAAGTACTTAACACCTTTACAGCTCATCCGGATGGGGTGTTAACAAAAGCAGCACACTGTCTCGATATCATACGCCAACAGCTCATGTGCACCGTAGACGTTGGCGTCTTCGGTCAATTCTGGATATATCCTCACCATCCCGAGCCATTCGTAGACTTCAACACCCAGCATAAGTGCCGCAATTTTGAGCAACTCCGACAATGGACAGAGAAGAATCAACTGCCAGAGAAGGTCCCATCGGATTTCCTTGAGCCTCCTAAGGTGGGGGATCGTATATACCCCGAGGTCCCGTGATTGTTACACGATCAACATTGGTCTGGTTTAAATTGGAATATATAGGGATGGTGAATGAATGTACATAGCAACTGCAGTCTTAATTAAAATGAGATTAAAATAACGTCATATTCCCAGAGACAAACAGTAGTTCACCTGTCTGAGATAAGAGGTCTGCCACCCCTACTCCGGGTCTGCATATACGAAGTGACAGGGTTAAGGTCACCTATTTGTCATTACAAGTAAGCTAGCCATAATCCTTGAGACCCCGCAGAGAAAGTCCCGATGTATCTATTCACAGCCAGTAGTGATCTTGGACCCCTAAGCAGCGGCAATGCCACCAAAGTAAGCTCGAATGCCGAGAATTATGTAGGCAAATGGTATAGGACTTAAAGTAGTGGTGGTAATGCACCAAGAGATCTGAAGACAAAATTTTGCAGATCTAAAGATATATCGGGTTGTGTTTGCAGAAGGATTATACCCAGCTAGATTGTACATTCCTCCATAGATGATTGGTGCAATAACGGCTGTCTTTCCAGCAGACAACACCGGCCAATTACCACGGTATATAGTTAGCTAGAGAGCTATTATTTGAACTGCAACAAAGATAATGTTATCGATCACAAAACACCGATGGATTCATATCAAGCTGGAAGAAAAGCCCGAATGGAGTGGAAGTACAGTTCGTATGGGAACCAAATGCGCCATATCCAACTTATAGCGATCACTAGAAAGACAACAGCTTGAATAGCGAGACCAGGGAGGCCCAGGGCGTTGGAAAACTGTATGGAGGTGATATGGCCAGCTTGAATAAGAATCTCGACGCCTTCAGCAATAGGCATAACGAGACTGAAATTAAGCTGATGGATAAACTCGATAAGCCCAATGAGCATCTTATAGCCCGTGTCACCATGCAAAAGGCTCAGAAAGTCAATAATCAGACACGTATAACGGATAGAAGAAGGAAGGTTGCATAGGCAGAGCCCACGTGTTTTGCCCATAGTATTGACACAATGCGAATCTGGTAGATGTTAGCGGCCATATTGCTTGAGAGTTTCATTTACTTACAAAGCCAGAAACTGCATCCAAGCTATGCCACATTGCATTATATTCAACCAGTCACCAGCTAGAGGCGGCCATTTAAGAAGGGTAAGTTGTCTGTAGGACCCAATTTTGAAGACTTTATTATGAGTACACAAAAGCCATGATAAACATTGTGAGTCGCTCTGTTGCAGTGTCCAAATCTTGGAATACATAATCTATCAAAATCCCTGTATGATCGTTTTGCATCCAAACACGATGCAGTTGGGGGAGCAATGATCCAAAGCCCAGGGTGAGCAGAATGCTGCTGGAGATCAGCTTCTGAATCGGATGCACTCGAAGGATACGTACATCCGTGCCCAATTTGGGATATTCAGGGGAAGTTGGGGAGATATCCATAGCGATGACCGGTGAGATATGGAGCTATCTCGAGATTAGGGGTTAAAAAAGGATGAAAATCATCTAGCGACATTGTAGCATCACATTTTCTTTAGGACATCGGCCTGGGGTGATGCCCCTGGTTGCGGATGCTCATTCTACTTGTACGGACTGTAGGCTGGACAATGAATACCGGCCTTGCACTAAAGATGAGGCTCCCAGCTCCGTTTACAACGGCTGAAGCAACGACGCTATGGGTATTATGGTGGAGGGAGTCTCCAATTCATGCGACGACGACTACGGCTCGGGTTTCCTTTCGGGCTACAAGCGACTTTGTTGAATTGTGTAAATGAACATAAGAAATAGATAAACTTGTGTGAACGACCTATTCCAGGCGCTCAGTGTGTACAAAAACCACAATATCCACATTTAGAACCACAGGCCGTATAGTCCTTCTCAGATCCGTTGTCCCAATCCAAATCCGCATACTCATTCTGATCTTCCGTTCTTGGAGACGACAGCTGATGATTTTCACTGGTATCCAGGCCCTCTTTTGTCCATCTTTCGCTTAGAGTAGTCGGCAAAGCTTTGGGCACATCGTCACAGACCTCTCGCAATTCGAGTACCCTTTTTCCCTCCTCGTGAACCAGCTCAAATCGACCACTTGGCCGGTCACGGGCAAAGTCGACTAGCAACTTTAACAGGAGGACTAGTTTGCGCAAGTTATCCCTTTCATCTTCCTCCCATTGAGCTAGTTTCTCTCGGACATTGAGAATTTGCATCTCCTCCATGTCAAACACCCCGGCCTTGTGAAACGCAAGCAGAAAGTTAGGGATCTGCGATACCCACAGACGAGGCAACTCTTCTCCGAGGATATCATTATCCTTCTTCCGAATTGATCTGGTCTTTAGATCAAATATGGCAGCCTGCGGCACATGGTCTCCGGCACTTCGAACCGTAATGGATTCATTCCCTATGGCTGAGTCGGGATCGCGTCTGCCCAAGATTGTATCTCCGAAAATAGTAGCCAATTCCTGGTCGGTATCAGTTTCTCGGTCAATCTTCGCACTTTGTCGTATGTCCTTAGACTGCTCCTGCGCGAGCTCCGGAAAGTACCCGTCTGCTTCGAACCGTACGACACACTTCAGATCCCCCAAAGTATACTTTATCAACCGTTGATGCGACTCAGACCCCTTGACACCAGATGCCCATGTTGTGTATGTTTCTGGAAAGCTATGTCCATACCCGTAAACATTTTGAATAACTTCCCTCGAGGAGTTCTCTCTTCGGATAAAGAAGACCGTCGACCCAACTACCTCAACCAGCATTCTGAATTCACGGTCGACGCCTCGAACAAAACGTAAGAGGTTTCCAACTGTACTACCGCAACCAACGATGTCGATATTCTCGGTAGGAAAATGGGGATTCTGTCTCAATATCGCCTCGATAGCCGGCTGCATCGGGTAAGAAGGATAACGCGCAGCGTTCTGGTCACGAAAGTATTCCCCATCATCCTCTTTCAACTTGCTGGGATGCAGTAATGGCGTCCAAGCGGGTGGATTTCCTAAGTGTTCATGACAGTCAGCGATGAGCTTTAAGCTTCGTGTTCGAAACCAACCTGGTATCAGTATGGTCGGCTCTTTCTCATTCAACCAGTTGAATGACGCGATCTCCTTGCAGTCAGATATTTTTGCGGACTTCTCGTCGACGGTACTAACATCGGCCAGATCGCTCTCATGCACATCGGCCAGCCTAGATCCAAGCGGCAGAGCAGGGGTTTCTTGGGCTTGCGGCTTTCTCCAGCTTTTATTCGCAAAGCCTCGCGAGCGTCCTGAATATCCTGCCCTGTTGCGTCCACCTCGAGCCCGTATGCCACGCCCTCGCTGCTGCATTGACATGGTGATTCCGTGGAAGATAGGGAAATCGTTATGACAAGAAAGGCAGAATGCCGTGGTTCTTAATATTGCAAATCCAACGATATTTAGCGGTCTGAGTGTCTCAATCAAAGTGGTGCTATCCACTACCTATCTTTGTTTACTGCACGCGTTGTTTGCATAAGTGCGGCAAAATGCAGCTGTAAAAGCAATCAATTGGCCGATAGAAGTACCAGCTGTCTCTGCTTTTGTTTTGTCGTCTTTGTATGTGTGATGGAGGGGTTTGCATTTTGAAAGTCTGTGACGGCTCAGCACTTCAACGCTACTATCGACAAACACCAACATGGCAAACGGTGCCATACAAACAATCGAGACAAACAGCCGCTTAGCGATGCCGCACAACCTCTGTATATGTCTTCATGAAGATGGATTATCTTCCTTCTTTTCCTTTCTTTTTCAGGTTCGATATTCCCGTCGATGGCTACAAAGTTTGGGTGGGAATTCAGTTCATTAGTGTCTACCATTCCGAGCCCGTGACAAAGTTGGCATCTGTCGTTGCTGAGCTTTCCAATAGTTTTTTTTCTTGAAACTGTCTCAAAATCATCTTTCTTACCACTATCATCCTCAACACAGCATGAGTCTGCCTGACCAACGCACCGGTCGATTGGATAGATTCTTCGACCAAGTGCTACGCGGCAAGAGGGCCTTGACGACGCCCGAAAACGTGAAGCTCTTCGTTGAAGCTGTGCTTGCGAAAGACAATAATTCTGCTTGTATAGAGCGCATTATAGCCAGTCCGGAAGCACGCGCTGCTATCCATAACGGTCTCCGGTTCGATGTATCTCCAGCGTTTATCAATCAGACTACGTCTCCCTTCATACGCTATCTATCGGACCCTACCGTAAAGCAACTGTGCAATGGCCAGTTTCTTCAGGAGCTACTCACTTCTATAGTCGAGCCCCGGACAATATGGAACGCTTTCATGGTCGCATTTCAGATTGGAAAGCTGAGCGATGATTCAACTTATGCATTCGCCTGGATGCTGTTTGAGTTACTTTCTTTGCCTCCGTCTAGTCAGATCGATCTGACAGAAGATGTAAACAAGGTAGTCAGTGACGGATTGCTTCAGCAGTCATCATCGCCAGACGTCCGTGCTTTAGGGCATAAGATCGAGCATATCCTGCGCGTTCGATCTTCCAACGTGCACGTGGATCCTGACTTTGCGCCCGGAGGCCGCCATGACAACGACTTTGCCGAGTTTTGGAAGATTGCCATTCACCCAACAGCCCGCGAATTCACATCTACCGAAAAGCCCTTCTACCGCCGTGCTGATGAAATAGCCAACATCCCCGCGGAAACACGTATCACTGCTCATCTGGACAATCAGTTCCGTCTCTTGAGAGAAGACATGCTTTCCGTGTTGCGCGACGATATCCAGATCGCCCGTGGACAGAAGAAAGGACGTCGGTCTGTTACACTTTTGCGGCAATTGTCTCTGCGTGGAGCCCGCTGCCGTGAGGGCCGCAGGTTCAAGCCCTTTGCTCTGTCATTTGTTTGCGAAAAGGGACTGGAATCACTGTCTGGGCTTAGCCACGGCCAGAAAAAGCACTTCTTGAAGGAGAATTTACAATTTCTCAGACATCATTCTTTTGGATGCCTCACTCGCCAGGGCGAAATTATTTCCTTTGGCACACTCGAGCGAGATATTGACAATCTGTCGCTGGACCCTCCTCAGGTGGTATTGCAAATTTTGGGAGAAGCAGCGCTTGAGGACACACTACTAGCATTGAGACTGTACAATGATGTCGACTTCCTCATGGTCGATGCACCTGTATTCGCTTACGAACCGATCTTGAAATGCCTCCAGAGCAAGACCGACCTGGCCCTGGCAAAGGAACTCTTACAACACAACCGAGGCGATCCGGCAGCATTGTCAACCTTATTCAGTCCTTCAATCGTCGACCAAATTACAGCTGCGGGGACTACTAATATTCAGCATATCTTGAAGACAACAAAGCCCGTCAGTCTAGAGACGTCTCAGCACGAATCCTTCCTCGCGGGACTGAAGCAGAGTGTCAGCCTTATTCAAGGGCCTCCGGGTAGGCATCCTCATTCCTCCACTATAGCGCAGCGTGGCTAACTTCTCTAGGAACCGGAAAGTCTTTCGTTGGCGCTCTGTTGACAAAGTCTTTCCATGAATACACCAACGAAAAGATTCTTGTTATGTGCTATACGAATCATGCTTTGGATCAGTTCCTAGAAGATCTTCTTGATATAGGAATTGATAAAGAGGCTATTGTTAGGCTTGGATCCAAGTCTTCTCCACGGACTCTTGAGCTTACCTTGCTAAATCAACGGATTCTCTATCAGCGAGGCAAGTCTAGCTGGGATGTGGTTAACTCGTTAGAATCTGAAGCAGATGGCCTGAAAAACAAGTTAACGGAGGCGCTTGATGCTCTGCAAAACTTCAGCGTGAGCACTGGGGCTATTATGGAATTCTTGGAGTTCGAAGATCCAGTCTTTCACAAGGCATTCGCTCCTCTAGAGCAGAGCGACGGAATGACTATTGTCGGTGCACACGGAAAATCTGTGGATTCTCATTACTTTTTCGACAACTGGGCGCAGGGAAAGCACCCTAAGGCGTTGGTCAAACAGCTACCAGAAGAGAGCCAGCAAGTATGGGATATGGAACCCGAAGCGCGCAAATGTTACATCAACAAATGGAAAAAGACTTTGCTCAAAGAACAGATCGTCATTATTCAGGTTATCGCCCAACAGTTTGACGTTATCCAAGGCCGGCTTGGAAAAATGTGGAACGAAAGGGCTTTAGAAATCTTGAAGACAAAACGGATCATTGGCTGCACCACGACTGGAGCTGCGATGTATAGCGAAGATATCCGCCAAGTCGAACCCGGCATTGTCATCCTTGAAGAGGCCGGTGAGATCCTAGAATCGCACGTTCTAACTGCCATGGGTTCCGAAACAAAACAACTCGTGCTCATCGGTGACCATCAACAGCTGCGACCTAAAATCAACAACTATGGGCTTTCTGTCGAAAAGGGTCACGGTTACGATCTGAACCGCTCCCTCTTCGAGCGCTTAGTTCTTGCAGGGTATCCACATTCAACGCTGGCCAAGCAACATCGCATGTGCCCCGAGATTTCCTCGCTGGTGAGGCATCTCACATATCCCGATTTGTTGGATGATCCAAAGACGCTGAACCGTCCACCTCCACTTGGGCTACAAGACCGCATTATATTCTTGGATCATCGCAACGCTGAAGCACAATTCAAGACAGTTTCCGATCGTCGAGATGAAGGCGCAAAGGGGAGTAAGCAGAACACATTTGAGGCTGAAATTGTGCTAAAGATAGTTAAGTACCTCGGCCAACAGGGATATGGAACGGACGATTTGGTGGTTCTCACACCCTATCTTGGCCAGCTTCATTTGTTACGAGACTCCTTGAGGAAGGAAACCGATCCGGTGTTGAATGATTTGGATTCGTACGATCTTGTTCGAGCAGGATTGCTCTCTAAAGCTGGAGCGCAGCATCGAAAGCGACCTCTTCGATTGTCCACCATAGGTAAGGCTCTACCCGATAGAATTAGCAAGTCTTACAACTAACTCTAGTCGTAATAAGACAACTATCAGGGCGAGGAGAGCGACATTGTCATCGTATCACTTACTCGTAGCAACGATGACGGAGACATCGGGTTTATGGCAGCACCTCAACGATTGAATGTTATGCTATCTCGAGCTCGCAACGTCTTGATTATGGTCGGGGATTCTAAAACGTTTATGAAGAGCCTAAAGGGAAAGGAAATATGGACCTCGTTCATCAACCATATGGATGCCAATCACCATTTGTATGACGGACTGCCGGTCAGGTGCCAACGACATGGGCAAGAAGCGGTCCTAAAAACAAAGGACGACTTTGAAAGAGAGTGTCCTGATGGAGGCTGCCTGCTGCCTTGGTGAGTTCTTCTCTTCGTCACTTTTAGTATTGTTAACTGACACCGGCTAGTGGTGCGATGCTCAGCTGCGGAGTCCATCCTTGTCCCTCGAAATGTCACCAACTGTCAGACCATTCCAAGATGACATGCTATAAAATTGTCAATTCGACGTGCCCCCGTGGTCACAAAACCATTCAGTCCTGCTTCCAGAGCGGCGGGATATGTCGCCACTGTGTTGCTGAGGACGAATTCATGGAGAAACGGCGCTGTAGAGACATGAAGCTAGAGGCTGAACGCGAGAGAAAGCAAAAGCAATACGCGCGCGAGCTCTCAGAACTACAGGAGGAAATTGAACGCGAACGACGTCTTCAAAGGGACGACTATGAGTCACTGCAACGACAGAAGGTTATGGACCAACACCAAGCGGAACTTGCAAAGTTGAAGTCAGGGGGCAAGAGCCTGCCAAATGATATTAATGTCGATACTAACGGCGACGGACACCATACAGGGGTCAATTGCTCTGCAGGCCCCAAGCACTATCACGAGCAGAGTGGCGGGCCAGGCGATAAAGCAGATGGAAATGGAGCGCCGCAGCCGGTGCAAATTAGTGCCCACGCAGATTGGGACTTTCAAAAGCGTTTTGAAGGAGCACAAAGTGCCGAAATTGATACACTGATGGGTATGATCGGTCTTAATAGCGTCAAGGAAAAGTTCCTTTCAATCAAGGCCCAAGTGGACACCGCAATTCGCCAGAATGTGGATCTGAAGAGTGAGCGATTTGGAACAATCCTGGTTGGAAACCCCGGGACTGGTAAGTCTTCTCCAATCCCTGAGCTTGGGATACTTGCTCATCATCCCAGGTAAAACCACTGTTGCTCGCCTCTATGCCAGCTTTCTCGCTTCTGTTGGAGTCCTTCCTGGGAATATCTTCGAGGAAACCACTGGATCGCGCCTGGCAAACGATGGAGTCTCGGGATGCCAAAAAACAATAAACAAGATTCTCAACAGCGGCGGCGGCGTGCTATTCATTGATGAGGCATACCAATTGACGGAAGGACAGTCACTTGGCACCAATGTTATTGATTATCTTCTGGCTGAGGTGGAAAACCTGACCGGCAAAATAGTCATCGTACTCGCAGGATACCGAAGCCGGATGGAGAAGTTTCTTGGCCACAACCCAGGATTGCCGAGTCGATTCCCCCATGAGCTCCGGTTTGAAGACTATAGCGACAATGAGCTGCGTCAAATCTTTGAATATCGAGTGAGCAAGAAGTATAATGGACAAATGAAAGTCACTGGCGGGATGAACGGTCTGTACAGTCGTATCATCTCTCGGCGTGTTGGCCGCGGACGTGGTAAAGAAGGGTTTGCGAATGCACGAGCAGTCGAGAATGCCGTCTCACGTATCATTGAGCGTCAAGCTATCCGGCTCGTCCGGGAGAGAAGGAGCCAACGCAGCGTGGATGATATGCTGTTTACCAAGGAAGACCTCATCGGGCCGGAGCCATCAAAGGCTCTCGAGAATTGCTCTGCATGGAGGAAGATGCGTGAAATGATCGGTCTGCAGTCTGTGAAGAATACTGTGCGAGCTCTTTTAGACAGTATTGAATACAACTACCATCGCGAACTCAAGGAGAAACCTCTGGTTGATTTCACCCTGAATCGTGTGTTCCTTGGATCGCCTGGAACGGGTAAAACTTCGGTCGCGAAGCTCTACGGCCAGATATTGGTGGATTTAGGGATGTTATCAAATGGAGAGGGTGAGTTCTTCACCACTAAATTCTTTCGGGGCCTTCTAACTTTTTATATCGCAGTTGTTGTCAAAACTCCCGCCGACTTTATTGGCTCTGTCCTAGGCGAGTCTGAGAAGAATACGAAGGGAGTCCTGGCATCTACAGTCGGTAAAGTACTCGTAATTGATGAGGCCTATGGACTTGCCGGTGGTGGTAGTAGTCGCAGTGGCACAGGATCATCGACAGACATTTACAGAACTGCTGTGGTGGACACCATCGTGGCCGAGGTGCAAAGCACACCAGGTGATGACCGGTGTGTGCTACTTCTAGGATACCAGGACCAGATGACGGAAATGTTCCAGAATGTGAACCCCGGCCTTTCAAGGAGATTCCCTATGGACTCTGCCTTCACGTTTGAAGATTTCACCGATGACGAGCTTGGCCAGATCATGGATCTCAAGTTAAAGCAGCAGGAATTCGAGACGACAGTACAGGGTAAGAAGGTGGCATTGGAAGTCCTTTCGCGAGCTCGTAATCGGCCAAACTTTGGGAATGCCGGGGAGATTGATATCTTGTTGAACAATGCAAAGGTTCGACATCAGCAACGACTGTCAGCGGAGAAGGCATCAGGGAGGGTACCGACAAACACCTCAATTTTCGAGCCGCAGGACCTCGACGGGGAGTATGATCGTGGAGAGCGTGCGGAAACGAATATCCCTATGCTTTTTGCCGGAAATGTCGGCTGCGAGAAGATTGTGGAACAGCTAGAAGGGTATCGTCAAACTGTGCGAAATATGCGCATGCTCGATATAGATCCTCGCGACCAGATTCCATTCAATTTCCTGTTTCGGGGTCCCCCGGGTAAGTGGCCATACCGAGATGCAAGTGGCATGTGGAATATACTGACAGCTTTCAACAGGAACCGGGAAGACGACCACCGCAAGAAAGATGGGAAAGGTCTACTATGACATGGGTTTCTTATCTTCTGCAGATGTGATTGAAAGCTCCGCAACTGATCTTATTGGCCAGTATGTCGGTCAAACGAGCCCGAAGACACAAGCCCTCTTAGAAAAAGCGCTAGGCAAGGTACTACTTGTCGACGAGGCCTATCGGCTTGGAGAAGGTCAATTTGCGAAAGAGGCAATAGACGAGGTCGTCGACTGCATTACTAAGCCCAAGTTCAAGCAAAAACTGATCGTTATCCTCGCTGGTTACGACGGTGACATTAACCGACTCATGGCGATAAACCCTGGCTTAACAAGCCGCTTCCCGGAGTCGATCTCATTCAATAGCCTCGATTCAAATGCCTGCGTGAAGCTATTGACGAGTCTTCTCAGCTCTCGGAAGCAGAAACTGAGCCAGCGCCTCAGAATTGTTAACATGGATGCATTGGAATATCCGACGTTCTCATTCCTCGAGGACCTGAAAAGACGTTTCTCAACACTAGCTCAAATTCTTAACTGGGCTAATGCGCGCGATGTAGAAACTCTGGCACAGGCCATATTCCGCAAGGCCGTGAATTCCATCGCTCATGGTTGCCTAGTTGTGGGTGAGGACAGTGTTCTCAGTGAGACGGATCGTATGATTACCGAGCGTATGCACCGGCAAACTACATCGAATGGGCACACTCCTGCTTTGCAGAATGGCGTCGCGGTGGATGCGCAATCTTCTAATGCACACTCTACCAAGACAACATCTAATATCAACTCGTACCAGCAGCCATCTGAGGAAGAGGAAGAGCAGCAGCCCGACTCACCTCAGCCTTCAGTCCCTATGAAGGTAACTCGAGATCCCGGCGTGACGGATGATGTGTGGAACCGACTAGAACAGGACAAGGCTACAGAGAAGGCTCGAAGAAAGCAGTATCAGAAGCTCCTTAACGAAGAGAATGCGACAAGTAAAGCAGTTCAGGACGCGCAACGGAAGGAGACAGATGCAGCAATCCAGATGAAGCAAGACCAGAATCACGATGATGAAGCCATGAAGCGCCATGAACAAGAACGTCTAAAACACGAGCTGGAACTTAGGGCCTATGAAGACGAACTTAAACGCCTGAGAAAGCAGAAAGAAGAAGAGCAGAAGCGTCGAAAGCAAGAGCAGGAAGCCCAAAAGAAGCTTCGTCATATGGGCGTTTGTCCTGTCGGATTCCAGTGGATCAAACAGGCATCTGGCTATCGATGTGCAGGAGGAACGCACTATGTGTCTAACGAGCAGCTTGGGATGTAGAAAGAGATAGTGATGGTGATTTTAGTCGCAGGAAGAGAGGCTAATATCTTATATTGGTGTAGTCGATTTCAGTCGACAGTTAGACATCTAGCAATTGAGGGGGGTTCTTCTGTGAAGTTCAAGCAATGCTTTTTTATTTTTTTTTTTTTTTTAATTCTTTTTTTTCATTTAGATTCTTGTCCGCTTTAAATTCTTCGCCTCACTTTGTCGGGCTGTTGTTTGCCCAGTGCCATATATAACCATCTGTCG